TTAATCATGAATAATTGGGATTTCTGAGTTTTATCCCACACGGGCAGGGTGAGGCAGGAGGGAAAGAAAGGGACCTGAGAGGCAGGAGGGAAAGAAAGGGACCTGAGAGGCAGGAGAGAAAGAAAGGGACCTGAGAGGCAGGAGAGAAAGAAAGGGACCTGAGAGGCAGGAGGGAAAGAAAGGCATCTGAGAGGCAGGAGGGAAAGAAAGGGACCTGAGAGGCAACAGAAAGGGGTTTGAAAGGAGCTGGAAGTACCTTCCTCCTCTTCTTCAGCCTCTTCTCCTCCCGCTTCTTCCTCACCTTCCTCCTTCTCTTCCTCCTCCCCCTCTTCTGCAGGAGCTGCCTTGGCCTCCCCTGCCTTGGCAGCCTCGATGGTCTCCTCGATCTCGATCTGCTCCTCCTGCACGTGGCTGGAGTAGTAGGTGGGGAAGGAGCGGGTTGTCAGCAGGTAGGAGCTGGACTGGAGCCCCGAGTAGGCAGATCTGCCAAAGCTGGGGGCACTCTGGGTGTAGCCACTGGTGATGCTGCCAACGCTGGTGAAGCTGAGCCTGGTCTCTTCCCCTTCCAGAAGTTTCCTGGCAGAGAAAAATAACAAAGGGCTTGGTTATTCTGCAGCAGATCCAGCCACGGAGCAAGAAACTGGGATGCTCTGAGAGCAAAATTAGTCCCTAATTAATAACATGAGGCAATGCTACTCTGCCTTCTTGGAATGATTTGTTCCAGAGATGCCTATCTTGGGGGAATTTATACTTCTTGTTAGAAAAGACAGGGAAAACCCTCTAGAATCAGGCAGGGGAAGTCAGAGGAGTGTTCTGGCAGCCTGCAGGGTTTCACAGAGCGAGGCAGAGCCGACCATTTGAGGTTTAGCAGCTCTAACCCTCGTCTGGCAGCTTTCTCAGGATTCCCCCTTGTGGCATTCCCAGAAAATCTGCTTCAGCATTCGAGCTGCCTCCCAGCAGCGGGGACAAAACACCTCACAGCCACTTAGCAGCACTTCTGCTGCCAGATATTTTAATTTACAGATTTGCAGGCTGGAAAGAAAGCCTGTTCTTCGAGAGCAGTGGAGGGATTCTCCTGTTCTGAAAACCAGAAATCTGCACTGAGAAGCTGCACTGACACAAAAATCCCTTCACTAAGCCCAGAACAGATACTTTGATGTGTAAAGACAGAGAACTGAGACCGTGTGTTGCCGAGGTAAAAATTAAAGCTCATTAAAAATTTTGCTTTAAAGAAGTATTTTACCTCAAAAAAAAACCCAAAATAAATCACAGTTTCTCCCAAGGACACGACACCAGAGAGGACCTGATTAAACTCTGACACCCATCTATGGAAATTTCTGCTGGAGGAATGACAAGTCACACGAATTGTCTGGAAGAGAAGGGGGATCTGCTCCGAGTTCTGGCTTCCACAGACCTGTAAGCTGCAATTTCGATGTCCAGGGCCATTTTCACGTTGAGCAGATCCTGGTACTCCTTCAGGTACCGAGCCATTTCACTCTTTGTGGTTCTCAGCTCGTTCTCTAATTTGTTGATTGTGTCCTGTTGGTTGCAACAGCATAAAATTCTCAATTCTTCCAAGCCTACCAATAATTACAATGGATTTCTCCAATCCTATTAATTTGATCTTGCTCTAGCAGATAGAAAAATAAAAAAAGGACAGCTCCCACTCCACCCTCAGCCAAAAAGGCAACATTTAATGCTTTCCCTGGCAGGGTCTTCCCACTCCTGTATCAACACCCTTTTACTTCACTGCTATTTACCATAAAGAGTCCAATTATCTGGTATCCAAGTGCTAAAGCACACGGGAAATTGGTGTATAATTTCATTTGGGTTTTAGCCTCTCTGTGCTTTCTCTAGTTTTAACTTAACATTTTTTTTATTTTTTTTTTAAGGAGATCCACCAAGTTGGACTCAATGATCCTCGTGTGTCCCTTCCAACTCAGGATATTCTATAATTCTGTGGGGTTTTTAATGAATGAATGAATGAATACAGATCAATTCTCTATAGCTCTGGGGCATTTTGCACCCTGATTTCCTGATGCTTCACAGTTTAGATCCACAACACAGCTCTGGTACAAGCTGGAAGCAATGCCCTATCTCCAGGATCATATGGATCTATGATAGATTATACTGATAATTGGTAGCTCTGGGGCATTTTGCATTACAATTTTGGGATAATTTGTGTGCAATACAGGTACAGCAGGAGCATCTCCAGGATCTGACAACCTCCCCCTGCAAACCTCGACCCCCTTTCACCTGCAGACCCCTGAGAGCTCCAACCCCTCTCACCTGTGGGACCCCACAAACCCCGACCCCTTTGACCTGCAGGACCCTGCAAAACCCCTCATCCCTCCCCTGCAGAGCCCTATAATCCCCAACCCTCCTCAGATGCAGAATCCTCCAAACCCTGACAGCCTCAGCTGCAGAACTGTGTAAACCCTGAGCCCCCTTTATCTGTAGAACCCCACAAACCCCCTCCACCTGCGGGGACCCTTCAATCCTGACACCCCTCATCTGCAGAACCCCATCATCCCCAACCTTCTTCACCTGCAGAACCCTTCAAACCCTG